GTTGTTGCAGCTGTTGGATATTTTCGATGTGTTTGTCAATAATTTGTTGTTGTAGTTGTGGCTGTAGTTGTGGCTGTAGTTGTGGCTGTAGTTGTGGCTGTAGTTGTGGCTGCAATTGTGGCTGGAGATGTGGCTGCTGTTGTAGCTGTAGTTGTGGCTGCAGTTGCTGTGGTGGTATTTGTAGCAGCGGTTGCATAGTTTGTGTTTGTTGCTGAATTAAAAATTGATGTTGTTGCAATAATTGTTGCAGTTGGTGTGGCGGTTGTTGAGTTACTGTCTGCGCAATCAACTGCGGTGGCTCTGGTTGTAGCCGTAATGGTTGCTGTAATTGTGGTTGTAGGGGTACATGTAGTTGAATTTGTGGTTGCGGCTGTAGCTGTTGTGGTTGCTGTTGAAGCAACTGCTGTTGTTGTTGTTTCAATTCTTCAAGATGTTGTTTCTGCTCACCGAAGCGTTGTAATTGTTGCTTTATGAGATCCCCGATTTGCGAATTTTTCGCAAGTTGTTTATAATTGTCGTCATCATCATCCTCACCACCATTATATTCATCGTAGTTATCATCGTCGTCATCATCATCGTAAAGATAATTATCAGAACTTTTGTCAACATTAACTTCATCATTCACTTCTTTTTCAACAATATTCATTTTGTCATTTTTATTTTTGAAAACAGATTTCAAACCAGATGTAAGCATTGGCGATAATTTCTGTACCTCAACTTCAAAATTTCTCTCAAAATTTGGCTTAAAAATTTTTCCAAAAAACATTTTATTCGTTGTGGTTGTGGCTGTAGTTGTTGCGATTGTTGTGGTTGATTTTGTTGTTGAAACAGTAGTAGCAGCAGCAGCGGTAGTAGTAGAGGTGGTGGTAATGGTCGTATTAATAACACTATTATTGGCAAACTTTTTAAAAAAAATTTCATGTTTAATCAAATTTTTCAGGTTGTCGTTAATGTCGAGCTTGTTAATCATCTTAACGTCATTCAGGTAATCTGTGACATCATCAGTTACATCATCCTTACTAACATCATCATCATTAATAACATCATCATCATTAATAACATCATCATCATTACCATCATCATCATCGTTTACTCCAAAACTTGACGATTCAGTAATAAAACGGTCGGTTAAGTATTTCTTTATTTTAGGCAATTCTTTTTTTTCGTTATAATTATTTTTATAGTTATTATTATCTTTTACAATTATGTAACTTTCACCATAATCGCCATAGTCATAATTATTATTATTATTATTGTTTTTATTATTAATATTATTTCTTTGAAAATCATTCGGAATATTTCCCGGTGCTTTATTATTCTTGGAGTTCAGTTTAGATAGATGTTCTCTGAGTGACATTAACTTATCCAACTGCGATCTATATCTGATCCTTAGTAGGTTCTCTTTGTTTCTCTGGTTCAATCCTTTTAGAAATATTTTTAATCTCGCGTCTGGCTTTCTGTTTTTGATTATCCGTCTATGTTTTTTCCCATTAAAACCGGTAAGTCTGTTAAGGTTGTCGTTACTACTGCTACTACCACTGTTGCTGCTGTCGCTACTACTACTACTACTTGTGTCAATAATACTATTACTATAACTACCACTCCTACCTCTACCGTTACTAGTACTACCACTAACTTTTTTATGATTATTATTATTATCGATAAGAATTTGAAATCTGTTGTTGTTATTGTTATTATTATCATTACTATTTTTGTTGTTGTTGTTGTTATTATTGTTGTTGATGTTGTTGGCGCCGAAACTGTGGTAATCAGCCCTATGCATATTTCTTTTATAAGCATTGTTAGCATCGTGTAACACTCTATCTATATTTCCATTGGCATTCATTTTGAAATCAATGTAGTCGTCATTCGTATTATAACTGCTTGTTTTTGCATTAATATTGTGGCTGTTACTACTGCTGCTGCTGTTATCGCTACCACTACTACTACCGTATTTACTGCTACTACTACTAATACTATCGTCATAGTTAAACTCATTAAAACGGTTTAAAACATCGTTATCAGCATTAACGTTACTATTACTACGACTATTACTACTACCACTACTACCACTGCTGCTGCTGCTGCTACTACCACTGCTGCCACTACTACTAATACTAGCATAGTCGTCAACGAAGATATTATTTTTACTAGGATTGCCGTTTTGAAAATGTTTAGCAGCGCTAATGCTTCTAGCACCAAAGAGGTTACTTAGAATACTGTCTGCATCATTACTACGAGTCTGGATGTTAGTAACTTCGTTATTTATTTTTTCCTCACTATTACCACCATTAAAAAAATTGTTACTAGACCGAATTTTTTTCCAACCTCCCTCATTAAGATAGTTGCCACTGGCTACTATCTGACTCATCTCGTCATTAAGTTTCACGCAGTTATTTACGACTTTTGCAACCTCGATTTGCGACCTGGAGTTAGAAACGTTGATGAAATAGCGCTGCATCTCAATGAGTTTGTTGGCTGCTAGCATGAGCCGCTGCTGCTTCAAAAGAGTTTTTATCAATTTCTGCTGGTTATTCTCTAAGACGTCAATCAGTTTATTTTTGTCGTCTATGACTGATTCTAAAATGGACAGACGACTGTTGGACAGTACGGCGCTTTTTAACCCGGGGCACTTTTGGTGACGTTTTGTTAGGGGCGGAGTTAGGGTACTAATTAGGACGTTTGCCATGTCGATTGGCTGGAACTGTAAAAGGTTTGGTTGCTTCGTTTGTTGTGGACGTTGGGAAAATAATGAAAAAGAGGGTGGTTTTAGGAAGATTGATGTGGTGAAGGAGAATGGTGGCAGCGTGAATAACAATGGCGACAGAGTTGCGCGTGACTGAAGAACTGATTTGTTGGCTGGCCCGTCCACATTTTTTGAAATATTTTTTATCTGTAGTGAATTTTTTATAACTGAAATTAATTTTGGAGGATTGCTGCCTTCGTTTTTGGATTTGCTCTCGGAAAATATTACGTCTTTTTCGTAAATGATTTTCTTTGAACAGTTATTTTTCAACTTCTCTTCTAAAATTTTTTCGTTATTTTTACTTCTCTTTAGCTCGCACTGTAAACCGTTCAACTGAGACTTCAATTTTTCGGTTTTTGTTAGCTGGTCAGCTGTAGACGCGTATAATGTTCGGAGAATGTTTGATTGAATGGTTTGACTGACGTTGTTAACTTGCGCGTTTGCGTTTTTGTCGCTTGGATAGCTATTTTTCATCTGAAAATTATACCTGTCTGTTATGTTTCCACTGCCAGCTGAATGTAAACGATCATTTTTAATTAAATATTTCAATATAAATTATACAAAACAAAGCCACACAAATGTAATTAATCAGTCAAACTAAACTCTAAAGACATGAAAACTTCAATTAACTATTAAATTAATTAACTAATTATTCAATTAATTAAATGTCCGAGTTGAGTGAATTTTACAATTTTAACTAACGATAATTTTTGCTTGATAACGTAAAAGCATACAGGCACTCTTCATTCTCGTAGCGTTGAGAAAGGCAGGCCACAAATTTTGCTAGGGCCGAATGAAGTCTGGATATGCGATTGTTTAGTAATTTCTTTTCCACTTCCAGCTGTCTGTAAACTATTCCACGTTCGTGTTAAAGTTTATTATAAGTTTAAAATTTAAAGTTATATCTAATCAATTAATGTTTAACTGGAATTATTCTTCAGATGATAAAAAATTACATTTAATTTTAATTAACCGTCAAAAGCTTGTTTGTTAATTATTTCACCCTAAATTTAATTAAATCCATGAAGTTCCAAACAATATTTGGTTAATAATACGTAAAAAATGTTTTCTTAATTAATCTATAATTGTCAATTAATCAAGTAATAATAATTAATAAATTAATAATTAAATATTTATTCATTTTAACCTGTAGCGTTTTTTCCCCTTTCAGTTCTTTCACATTCATTGACGTAATTCTGAAACCGATCCGAATCGATACCATCAACGTTTGAAAGGAACGCTTTAAAAACTGTAATTTAGCATTTTATTCTCGATATTTTAATGATATTTTAATATAAATTAATTTATTACAAGAAAAATCGATAGAATTATAAAGTAAAATGAATCGACTTATCTACTTACCCAAAAATGTTAAGATAATTGTGCTCATCGTTTAATTTAAAGTTATTTACAAATAAATAAAAACAAATTTATAAAATATAAATTTAAATCAAAATTCAAAACGAGAAATTAGAAAGCCTATTTTCTCTAAAAAAAAGCAAATTAAACACTGTCTTCCAAAGCAAATACATCATTGACCAGTTAGTGTCATTATTGTTTTTGTTTGCATCTGCTATTTATGACGTCATCATCAACTAATGCTCTTGACAATAATTCGAAAAATTATTTTTCTATGTGAGAGTATTATTATTTTAAAACAACTAATAATACTTGTCGGGTACTAATTTAATTTGTTCGTATGTGCGTGTGTTGTGTGTGTGCATGCATGCGTGCGTGCGTGTGTGTGTGTGTATTTATTGTGTGTATGTATTGTGTTTGTGTGATTAGCATTACGTGTACAAAACAAATCATATATTTCTAAACTTTAAGGTATTGAATGCATATATATATATATATTTATATATATATATATATATATATATATATATAAAATGTAGAATATAAAGCTGTTTTGACCGTAGTGCCTATTAGATGCACTGAATTTAAATGTTAACTTAACACGTGTTTTCATTTCGGTATCATTTATTTTGATTTGTCGTATTTATTTGTGAATTTATGATTATTTTTCAATTAAATTATTGCTTATCGTTGATCATTAATGGATGAACAAGTGAATCTGGTTAATGAATTTTTCGTTAAAGCTATCAATTCTTTACCTAATTTTGAAATAAGTTCTAGTGGTTTGCAGTCAGATAAACATAAAAAGTACCCCAAAGTCAACGGTTGGCTTGATTTTTTATTAACTATTTTAGTATTTGAATTTATTTGCATTGATTTGAGTAAAAAAATTATTTAATTTTCAATTTTTAAACATTTCATTTAAAAATTAAGCTAATTAATTGATAAATTTAAAAACAAAATATCCGATAAAATTATTCGATATATTATTTAAAAGATTATTATGTAATAGTTTTAATTTAGAGTAATTAAAAAATTAATTAAGGTGAAGGAGTGAACTACAAAAAAATTAAAAACCAAATCCTCAACGACTACAATATCATGAAAAGTAAATGATGATCGCTACTACCTTTTGGTCTAATATATATTTCTATTAAATATTTAATTAAATTTTGAATAACATAATACTTTTTTACATTTTTTAAAAAGGTTTCAAGGCAAATTATAATAATTTTATTATTATTTGTTATAATTGCTAATAAATATTGATCAACTATATTTTAAATCTAGAAAAACTCAGTAACGAGTTGAAACAAGAGCTTGAAAAGAGATCAAAGTATTTAAAAAGAGCACTAGACATGCTAACAGCAGACGGTGATGATGATGAATGTGATGATGACCAGAGAAAGTGCAAAAGAACTAAACTGCAACTAGAAGATGATGATGATGGTGACGATGATGACAACGATTATAATGATAGAATGGATGAGCTAGTCGATGATGATGAAGATGATAACGATGATGATGGGAGTAGTACTAATGGTGATGATGACAATGATGATGGTGATAATGTCAGAAGCCCTAGGAATAAAAATGAGGTAGAAAGTGAAGATGATCACAATAATGATGATGATGACGACGATGATGATGATGAGAGCTGCAGCAGTAGCTCAACTGATGATGACCTTAGTGAAAATGGTGATAATGAAGATGGTGAAGAAGTTAATGACGTCAATTTTGATATTGATAGTGATGAGGATGATGATGATGAAGAAGATGACTCACCTGATGATGATGATGTTGATGATGATGACCATAACATGAGTGATAATAAAGATGAATGGGATGATAATAATGATAGTGATGAAAATGATGAAGTTAAAAATAAATCATCTCCCCTCGAGAAAAATACGAGCAAGTCTAAAAATACGAATGCCACCTCCAAGACATCAGCATATCAAAAAACATCGAATAAAAATATGCCTGGTGGAAATTTAAGAGCTTTACTAAGACAAAGAATTGAAAAACTAGAAGGTTATCATCATTTCACTTTCAATCTTTTGCATAAAAAATTTATATTTCTTGTATTTTCTCTCTTAATGTAAAATTATTCATTAAATGTTTTACTAATTTATTGTCTTTTGAATATTCATCAAATCCAGTCGGAGAAATGTCACGTGGTCTCAATAGAGCTCGTTGAGATACTCGTGCTTATTAATTGGAATCATAATTACAGTAATTGTGATTAATTAATTCATTCATTCATTTATTTATAACAACAAAGAGAGAAGAGGGAAGATATTTGACTCAAAAAATGAAGATAAAGAAGATGATGGCAATGATGGGGCAGCAACTGGCAAACAAAGTTCTAGAAAAAACAAGAAAAAACATAAAAAACAAAACCAACAGCAACAAAATTCAGGCAAAAACCAACAGACGACATTAACCACAACAAAAGAAAACCACCAGACAGCAGGAAGCAATGCAAAACAACTGAAACAGCAGCCTCACCAACAGACAATCTCATCAAAAAAATCTGGACCTAGATTCAACCGAGACAACACCATCCTCTACTCAAAATTCGAATTCGACTCTGACTCCAAAAAGAGCAAAAAGAGCAAATCATTTAAAGACATTCCCACTGGCAAGCACTACGACCACATCCTTGCCAAGATATCGAAGCAGAAAGAAAAACTAGAGAAACTCTTAGAAACTGACCCTGCATCGGCCGAAATGTACCGACAGAAACTGGCCTGGAACAAGGCACTAGCCAAATCTGAAGGAATAAAAGTCCGAGATGACGAAAATTTAGTCCAGAGATCCATCAACAAGAAAACTAACCGCAAGGAGACGACTGAAAAAAGATGGAAGGAGAGGAATGAAAAAGTGGAACAAAAAATGGCTGCCAGACAAAAGAAGAGGAGAGAGAATATTAAGAAGAAAGCTAAGAAAAGAATAAAGAGGAAAATTGAAAAGAGAAGAAAAAAGTAGGTAACGAATGTGTTGCAAGCAAAAAAATCATAGCACGCTTCGTGTATAACCTAACCAAACCACGCATACGTAGTGCTGTATGCTACGATACATCACACATCATTACGCACGCTGTACAGACACTTACGCGTTAGCCTTAGTTATTTTATTCCTTTAAGTTAAATGAATAAAATATTTTGCAAGCGTCTTTCAAGTTTCTTGTAATTTGAAATTTTGAGGAATGTTAAATTGCTTATGCAACTTAAAACATTGAACGAAAGCCGAGGGTTTATTGACTGTATAACTTTATTGTGACGTCATGAACACGTAACTGTATACAACATGGAATTAACATATACAAGGTGTGTATTCGATACACATACAACGTATATCATGTGAATAGAATACGTGAATGTATATGTATTAATTAGTGACATGTATATGAATTACGCGTAACTAGAAACCTGCCTTCTTTCTGGTTATAAATAGAGTTTACTTCTTTAAAACAAAGTTATATTCCGGTTTAAATGTATCTATGCGACCACCATTTTTAAGCTTAATTATTATTATTATTATCGAACAAAAAAGATCGATTTTATTGAAATAAAAAAACCTTACCCCAAATATAATTGAAAAATGTTAAAATGAGACGTTATTAAACCCAAGCTGAAATGAATATTGTTTCTCTCTCTTTTTCTCTCTCTACACACACACAAACATACATACCATAGATTCATACGTATTATATATTACAATAATCTTTAACGAAAAATTAACAATTGATATAATAAATAAATTAATGAATAAATGGAAAAATGATCGAGAATAAAGCTGGCCTGATGATGATTGTAATGATGATGACGATGGTGGTGATGATGATAATGACGATAACGATGATGATGACAGAACATGATAAGTCAGTGTAATGACAATGATAAATTAAGATGGTGATGGTGACGACGACGACGAGAATATAGCTGATGGTGGTGATTACATATCATCATAATTCGTATCATCACCATCGTCATCTCTAGGAAGAAAGTCATCCTCATCATCACTTCTTATCTTCTAACGCTTTCAATTTTTTCTCGAGATTTTCGCAATTTGTTTTAATGGCGATCGAGTTCTTTCTGAATTCCTCTTGGACCTTTTTGGCAAAAAAATGAAAAGGTTTAATTTGAAAAATTTTAAGAATGACGACGACGACGACGATGATGGGTGTAGAGTGATGACCCCGACGACAGTGATGATGATAGTGTCAAGGAGAGTGATGTTCAAATTCCCAGTGAAAAAAAGCGATTTAAGATCATTAAAAATATAAAAAAAACAATGAAAACAAGAACAAAGAAAGAAAACAAAGTAAAAAAAAGACTCAACGGTTTTCAAAAGTTCGGAGTGGCCCTTCAGTTGCACGTTGATCTGCTGCTGGGTTACCTCTAGGTGGCCCAAAACTTGCTGGAATTCTAGAGCTGGTTGATTGATTGGTTGGTAAGTTGATTAGTTGGTTGATTGATTGGTTGGTAAGTTGATTAGTTGGTTGATTTATTGGTTGGTAAGTTGATTAGTTGGTTGATTGATTGGTTGGTTGATAAACACACATATACATAACACACACAAAAAAACAAACACACACAAACCTTGCTGGTGTAGTTGTTTAAGAGTTGTCAGTCGATCGACAACAGAGGGAAGAACTATTGACAGCTGGTTCCATTTCAGCATGATGTTGTACAGTTCCGATATCTGAATATGAAAAAGATGACTGCATCAATGATCACATCACACTTCCTTATCATCTTCATCACCATATCGCAATCATACTAATCAATCAATAGATCAATCAACCATCAAACCAATCAACCGGCCAACAAAACAATCATCCCCATCTACATCATCGCTGTAAACATCACGGCAGCGTCAGCCATCACTTCACCTTGTCCATCTTAGCTTTCTGTTCCATGATATCCTTCTTCTCTTCAATCTGATCCAACCTTCGTAGCACAGCACCCGCCTTCGACTCCACGTCCATCCAGTTTTGGCACTCCAGTGACTTGCTCTTCGAGACGAGATTTGATATTATATCCTGTCCAATCACATTAAGGGGTGGTAGATATTTTATATCCAATCATTATTGGTTCAATATTACATGATATTGTATCCAATTTGTGGTGGTGTAATGGTTAAAGATGCTTGTTTTTATGCCGCACTGATCAGGTTTGAATGCAAAGTCACCCTAAGCAACCAAATGCAAAAAGTATATTACGAAGATTTCATGTGTATTCACCTTTGAATGTTATAATCAGAAAGATTGATGATGACGTTTTAAAATGATAACATTGGAGTAATGTTATAACAGAATTTCTAAGCTTGGTGGCAATGGTGATCGTTCATTCATTCGTTCTTTAATCATTTTTATTATCATCACATTACGTCGTAATGACGTCATCATTATTGCCTTACCAGGATGCAGTTGTTGGCGGCTTCATACATAAGCGGAGGCTGTGTGGTAGGTATTTGAGGAAAAACTTTTCATCCCAATAAGAATCGTCGTTGTCGTCATCAGCATCGTCATCATTTTTTACTAGCATCATATCATCGTCATCATCATTATTATGAATAATGTTTGGAAGTTTTTGCCACAGCCAAACATCTTTTACAACATCATCGACATGATTATCATTTTCATCACCACCATAATTAACATCATCGTCGTCATCCTTACCGGAATGCATGGAACAGATCCAACAACTTTATTAAGACGTGATATTCTTTCTTCCAGGAGTGCCAACTGTTCAATCAATCAATTCATCAATCAATCAATCAATTCATCAATCAATTTATCAATCAATCCATCAATCAACCAACCCTCTTCATGTTTTCCATCTTCTGATCAGAAGGATTGACAACCATGTGATAACTCAATTGTTTGCTACTTGCAGATGACGATGTTGATGATGGCGAAGATGATGATGCCCTTGGTCCTTTTACTGATGTGAATTTGTCAATTTCATTTAACAGTTTCCTGAAATGAATAAATTAATAAAAGAATTAATTTATTAATTAATGAATTAATTAATTGATCAATTAAAATATGAATCAAAGATTGGTGAATAAATACTACTTTGCCAAATATCAACTAACAAGTCAACAAACAATTCAATTGCACACTTAATAAACCAATCAGCCAACTAACTCAAACAAAAAGCCCATAATCTCAACTAACCAATCAGCAAGCCATATCTCAACCAACTAACTTCTGAGTACTTCCTTGAGGGTCGGTCAAGTTCACTTTGAAAGCTTCAAGCTTTTGCTGATCAATAACTTTTTTCAGCACGTCCAACTGTTTAAATAAGTCCTTACCCGACAACATTTCAAATGTTTGCTCATCCAACTTTTCTGCCTCTTTGTTCTTGCTGAGGTCTTCTTGAAGACTGTTCACCTCTATCCAGAGTTTTTGGAGTTTTTCATTTAGTGTTTCATTTTTTTCATTTTTTGTATCTTTACTCTAGAAGTGAAAAACAGTTTTCTTTATTTTAATTAAAATTAATATTAAATTAATGGATTATATTCATTAATATATATTTTAACTAATTAAATTTATTAATTTTTTATACTTTATAACTTGAATTATAAAAATGTTTAAAAAATAATTTAATTTGATATTTACTAACAAGTTCATATTCTGGCAACTGACCAAATGGGTTCTAGAAAAAAATGATAACGAAAAAGATGTTTTTCAAATTTCATAAATTACCATTCATACAATATTTTCATAATTTAATTTTGAGTTAATACAAAGTATTCTCTAATAAATTATAATTTATTGACTAATAAAATAAATAAAAAAATAAAAAATAAAAAAAACCACACATACAACAGTTCCATCATTAGCAATCTGTTGATCAGACTCTGGCAGAGGGTTTGTCTCGTAGACATCCTACAAAAGAAAAATTGTCAACAAATAAGATTAGTAATTAGATCACTAATTGAATTATACTTAAAATATAATTTCAATTAAAAATTAACTTCACATAAAAACATAATGTTTTTATTATCACTCGGGTTAAAATACTTCAGCAGTTTTTTAAAAAGTGTGCAAAAACGCAACAAAAAATAAAAAATTATAAATGAAATATTTAAAATAATTATTAACAATTCCAGATCTTCCAGGTTTCGCCATCTTTTAAGATGGTTTTTTTAATTTTCGCGATTGTCTGATAAACAGTAAAATATGGGTCGGGTTGAATTGCCTGGATTGTTGGCTTATTGGCTTATATATGAAATAGCATGGGTTTTAACCAACAAGTTATTATGTTAAAAAATGTAGTAATTGAGTTGAATTATGTATTTCAAAATGAGATTTGTAAATTTGAATATGAAAATTGATTTTTGTCCTGTGATATACAGTGGCTTACTGAAGCCATAGGTTGTCTGACTAGGATTGAACTATAAACATTCTTTTTGCATATTCGGAGTGTTGTAAAGTATTTAGAGTATTTAAATACTACGGAATTAATTCAATGTTAAATACTCAATTAGTATTTTAATGCCCACTCTAATATTTGAAAAGTATTTAAATTACTTAATAAAATAGATGTATTTAGACAGCGTTTAAAATTATTAAATAGTGACATTATCAATCGTATTAAGCCAACAATCTAAGAAATTCAGCCCTGAAATTTTTAAAATTTACTTTTTATTTATTATTTAATAATTATTTATTTAAATAAACTCAAAAAATTTCAAAATTATTTATTTTTCAAAATGTAGTATACTGAATATATTTCTTAACAAGATATCAAAAACATAGATTATTAAACTTCATTGAGAATGTTAGCAGTTCGTTTGTTTCTATGACGGCCATCTTGTTGCTTTTAATACATTGTCCTGATTTTTATTTTAATTAATCGTTGTTGCTGAAATTAAATCAAAATTAGTGTTTTAATAAATCTCGTTTTGTTAAGTCAGTCGCATTATGTACTTTTAAGAAGTTCAATTTTAAATTATTGAAGTATGGAGGAGACAAAAGTAATTTATCATATTGATGACCAGGAGACACCTTACTTGATTAAAATCCCTAAACTGTCGGACACCATAACTCTGCTTGACCTGAAAAATGCTCTCAACAAATTCAACTACAAATATTTTTTTAAGTCTATGGATGATGATTTCGGGTAAGTGTATTGTATAGCTATTATATATCTTATAGTTAAATTTTGTTTCTTTTATTGTGGGTTGTTTCCGTCTTATGGTGGTGAAACTTGGGTGTTGAGGAGAGAGGAAGAAAGTGTACTGCAGAGGGCTGAAAGAGCTATGGTGAGGATGATGTGTGGGGTTAAAGTGAAGGATAGGAGGAGTAGTACAGAGCTGATGTCGATGATGGGACTGAATGAGGACATTGTGACATTGATAAGGAGATTGAGATTGCGGTGGTATGGACATGTGTTGAGAAGGGATGAAAGGGTCGGGATTAGGCGAGCGTTGGAGTTCGAGGTTGAAGGAGTGGTAGGAAGGGGTCGTCCGCGATTGGGATGGAGAGAGCAGGTGGAGAAGGACAGGGTGAAAGCGGAGTTGCGTGATACTGAGGCGAGTGACAGATGTGGATGGCGTCGAGGGGTATTTCGGTTTCATCATAGATAGCCAAACGGCAACCCCCGATCTCTGGGAAAATGTCGTCTAAACGTGTGTTGTTGTTGTTATTGTGGGTTGGTTAGTTTTATTTTTAAGTATTTCCTTACTCTACAAAATTTTTTAAAGTTAGACTAGGAGAGATGTGAACATTCACACTTGTTTGCTCCTCAGCCTTTTTATTTAACATTTTTTATTTTTAAATTTTTGTAATTTTAGAATTCAAAATAAACATTTTTTTTTAAATTTTCTTTCAGAATTGTCAAAGAAGAAATCATTGATGACAAATCAAAACTGCCTAGCTTCAATGGTCGAATTATTACATGGGTCTGCTGTCAATAATTCTGTTTTCATATTATTTATCTAAGATATTGAAGCAATATGTTTAAATTAATCTTTAATTTTAATTCATTCAAAGTACCAAAAATTATAGGCAAATAATTTTTTACAAATATTGTATATGTATATACATGCATAAGTTTTCCTTGGCTTCAAGTAGTGGTAATTCATTGCCACGTGCATGAACGTGCACATCTACATATCTATACATTAGTAAATTATATATTTAATGAAGGAATTATTAACATTTAATGACAAATTTGAATAATTCAGTTGGTAACATCAGAGTGTAGTACCTCAGACACACAGTCCCAATGTGCTGAAGGGACGATCTGCTCGATTGGCCACAACAATACTAAGAAGAACTCGCAGGATAGTTTGTAAGTTGTCAGTCACTCTGTTGTTGTTTGGGCTGTTGTTAATTCTTGTGTGTGGGTGTGTGTTTGTGTTAATATTTATTATTATGGTTGTTGTGGTTTTGCTGGACAATTTTGTTTAATTGTCATCACGATGAACGTGTACATGCATATAAATATTGCTACACGCACACACAAACACACATACAAACACACACACACTAATATTCCACAGAAACAAACTGAAACAAGAATCAAAACAATCATCTTCCACAAAAAACTCCTCCCCATCCTCTTCGAATGCTGCCATCAGTCGAAACTCTCCGAACCTCACAAACGCCAACATCAACAAGCTACAATCCTTACTGATTAACAACGCTAACAGCAACAACAACAGCAACATTAATATTCGTCCATTGGCACAGCAACAACATCAGCCTACAGCTGGCACCTGTTCTATTTTTAGCAGTGATCTTGACGCTACGAGTTTCGTCGATTCAGACGATGACACTAATACGAGGCTTGTTGCTATTTATTGCTGTTGAGTAATTATTGTTGTTATTGCTATTTATTGCTGAGTCGGTAAATTTTGATGTTGTTGTTGTTGTGGTTGTTACTGGCAGTGATATTTTAATAATGTGGCGTTGTGGTGTGTTTGTTGCTGAAGTTGTTGATGTTGTTTCAACTAGGTACTCGACGAGTACCCACACCACCAATCATTCGTCCCGTGTCCATGGTCAGAAGAAAAAGAAGAGGAAACACAAGTTGCCTGTCCTCAGTCAGGTAGATTGGATGGATGGATGAGTGAATTATTGGATGAATTAATGAATTAATTAGATGAATGGACAAGAATGAATGAGTGAATTATTGGATGAGTGGAAATTTGATTGTTTCTTTGATTGATTGATTGATTGATGGATGGATGGAAACATTCAATTATGATGGAGATGAATGTTTCATGTAATTTTTTTCATTGATCAACATTGATTCATGATTCATTTACCCATTCATTCATTCATTCATTCATTCATTCGTTCATGCAGGCTTCTTCATTCAGTAGCATCACAGATTCTACTATGTCCTTAAATATTGTCACCATCACACTTAATATGGGTAAGTTCATGTTTGTTATTATTATTATTATTATTAGGAGTAGTGGTAGTAGTAGTAGTAGTAGTGGTAGTAGTAGTAGTGTAGTGGTAGAGGTGGTAGTAGTAGTAGTAGTAGTAGCGGTGTTGGAAGTGGTTGTAGTAGTATAGTAACAATAATATTATTGTTATGGTTGTTACTGTTGAAAGTTTCCTGTGTGTTGTGCTTTTGTTTTTCTTTAGTCCATTCCCATGAAATTTATTGCTCCTTTCTGTGTTCTTTCATAAATTCTGGAGTAGTAGTAGTAGTAGTGGTAGTAGTAATAATAGTAATGATTTTTGCCTTTATTATTGTTTGATTGTTATTATTGTTATTAATACACAGTTCATTTGAATGTGCACACATACACATATCATCACATACATTGCATGTGGTGTGATATGTGAAGATCTCTATACATTTGAATTCAATCACTGCAACAGCATGATCAGACCAGGCGCCTTAACCATTACACTATCTGGCTGTCCAGAAAAATTATATTGTTGTCTTTTACCGTTATTTTACTCAGAGACAGCCAGTTTCCTTGGCATCAGCATCGTCGGTCAGAGTACTAGGGGTGGTGATGGCGGGATTTATGTGGGCTCCATCATGAAGGGGTTAGCCGGTTTGGTTGGCTGGTTGATTGATAAACTTAATGCTATTGATTGCATTTTTGAATGTTAATCATCATTTCAGTGATCATCATTGTCTTAATATCACCGTCATCACCTCATTTATCTTCGTAATCATCACCATCTTAACCATCACCATCATCATCAAAACCACCAGGGGAGCGGTGGCCCAAGACGGTCGGATAGAGCCGGGGGACATGATCCTGGAGGTCAACGGGATCAGTTTTGAGAACATGAGCAACGACGACGCCGTTCGAACCCTCAGAGAGGCAGTACAGAGGCCAGGGTTTGTTTCTTTCTCACGGCGGCTCACACACACACACACACACGCCCACAAATTCTCACACACAATACACAAATGCAGCCCCATAACTTTAGTGGTCGCAAAATGTTGGGACCCGTCACCTCGAGGCTACTTCACCATTCCTCGACAAGAACCCATCCGACCCATTGATCCTTCTGCCTGGATCATGCACTCGGAGGCCTGCATGGGAAGCATGTGGGATCCCAGACCCGCTGTTGGCGAACCCTCGCTGGGGCCTAGCGGTGCTGCCATGGGGCCCGTGATGTTGGGGAGGGATAATATGACATCTGCTACGTCCTCCGTTGTCAGTTCAGTTCCGCCTAACGATTGTACGTTCCGGGTTTTTCCGGTTTATCAATTTTAATTCTCATCATCAGTAGCATCATTGCTTATAAATTGCTTAGCAATGCTTAATTACATCATCATCTTTACCATCATTGGGGATGTCTGTGTCATAACTTAGCATCATGTCTATTGCGTGCTGTCATCATTATTATCATAAGTGTCATCGTAACAACAGCATCATCACTTCCTCATCATCAACATCACCATTATATTATCATCTTAATTACCACCTCCATCAACGTCATCATCAGTTGTGATAAGAGCTGCCCACTCATCGGCCACATCTAGTTCATCCCACAGCTCAAAAAGTTTGTTAATTTATCTTTGTCATTTGTTCTATGGCCTTTGATCTATGCTATTTTACTGATTCTTGATTCTTTTTCTTTTATTATCTTAATTTGATATATTTTAATGTCATAATTATTATGTATCTAGGTTACGCCGACCTAAATTTGACAAAAAATGCCGATATGTCACTGGTGGTTCGTGCCATGGCTCAGCCAGATTCAGGTGAATAAGTGATTGTATGCGGTTAATTTTATAAGATCTGAGTGTGTGTGTTGTGTGTGTGTGTGTGTGTGTGCGCGCGTGTAGGCGTGTGTGGATTGGTTTGTGGAAGTAGTTTGTCGTTTGAAGGAATGGTTTTTTTTGATGGTGCAATCATTCATGTTGGCTAACTTTTTCCAATAAGACATTTCATATTCAATTAACTGTTAATCTATATTAATGATTGATTGATTGGCCGAATGATTAACTGATTGATTAATTGATTGATTAACTGATTGATTAACTGACTGATTGATTGGCAACAGGGTTGGATGTAAGAGATAGAATGTGGCTCAAGATTCCTATTCCCCATTCATTCATTGGTCAGTTTTATTATTGTTTGATTGACCGATCCATCATTCTTTCATTCATCTATCCATTGCTTTATTATTTCTTTCATTTATTTATTTATTCATTCATCTCAAGATCGGCGATGGTGAATTGATGAATGGCTATGGATCATGATATATGTGATAGCAATGTTTTTCATGACAGGTTCAGAATTGGTCGACTGGTTGTATTCACATGTGGAAGGATTTGTTGATAGAAGAGATGCCAGGAGGTGTGTTTTTGTTGTTGTTGTTGATGTAGATTTGGATGTTGTTGCAGTTGTTGCTGATATTTGTAGTTGCTTTTGACGTTGTTAGAGTTCTTATGTTCTTATTTTGTATAATATACAGAATGTCACAAAAAGTTTTTTATTTGGCTGAGACAAGATTAATATAAAAAATACTGAATAATCACCAGTGTGAGCTCATACACGCACGCACATACATTTTCACGCATACATACATGTATACAGTCACACACACACACACACACACACACAGGTACGCTTGCAACTTATTGAAGTATGGTTTCATACAACATACTGTCAACAAGATAAGCTTTTCTGAGCAGTGCTACTACGTTTTTGGTTCTAATGTTATTCAAGGTTGGCTATGCTTCTGGTTTGTACAAACAGACATAAACATACATACGTACAAACACACATGCATACATGCATACATATGTACATACGCTCACAGACTTGGCCTCAATGTCTCTAGCAGACGATATCGACTCGGTATCATCGGTCGGCATCCAACAACAGCAACATCAACAACACAGGGACACAATAGGCCCCCTTCCACCGCCCCCCTCTTGGTCCATTCCCCCGTCCTTCCCTCCAAGACCGACCTACCCCCTAACGCCAAACATCTATCCAACGCCACTGAACAGCATAGTGAATTCTAACAGCAACAACAACAATAACAGCAACATTATCGCGAGCGGTGGTGCAGCTGGAAACAACTCGGCAATGATGATGAACATGATGATGGCTGGTGGAGGTGGGGCCATGCCCACCCCATACAACTACATCAATGACGGGGCCAGCTACATCAGCATGCCCGGTTACAACGGGGCCGAAAGTGTCATCAGTTCGGGTTCGTTGTTGTTGTTGTTGATGCGAGTGCGTGGATAAGTGAGTGAGTGAATGAATGAATGAATGACCGAATGAATGAATGATTGAGTAAAAGAGTATGTACATATCCGACAGTTAAAAGAGACAGAACGTGCGCCTGTATCGTCACACACACCTACAAGCAAATTCGAAAACTGTGGGACAATCCAGACAAGCCCCATCACCACCATCATCACTCTGGGGGGGCAAAGGTAACCCCTTCTCACATGACGTCACCGATGGTGGCCCGTCAGCAGGCAGGAGCCGTCGTTAATAGTGGTAGCAAGTTTAATGCTGACATTGAGCAGAGTACCAGCAGTGAAACAGGTTGGCTGTTTTGTCATTGATTGATTGATTGAAAGATTGATTTAAAGATTGATTGATTGATAGATTGATAAATGGAGTGGGTGGCCAACACGTGCACGCACACACACGCACGCACACACACACAACAGAGAGTGAAGGTTCAGTGAGCAGCCAATCAAAGAACAGCAAGGATCGTAGCAAGCAGACGACGTCGTCATCCACAAAGACGGCCGGGTGCGATTCGGGGTTGGGCAGCGTGGGTGTCGGGGGGGCGTTCGGAGAGAGGAGCCTGCCGCCCCTACCAACGTGTGTTGCCGGCGATTGCGACACGACTGACGGGGGTGTGGCCAAACCTTACATTAGGATCAACGCTGAAACTGGAGTTTGTTAGTAGATTTTTCTTCCTCTGTCTGCTAACTAAATAGTGATTAGTGAATGGATTAAACGATCCATCTGTGAAACTACAGAGACGCTTCTTACGTTCGTTAGCTGGTGGGGTTGTTGAGGTTATTTCAATTTCTTCTACCCTCATTAACGAATCGATATATTAATTTATCAGAATATTGAGAAGTCTTCTTCAGTGACCAATTACTTACTATTAACAATTCTTTCGTTTTCATTGTCCAATCAGTTCCTAAGTTTATTCACCGTTTATCCATTCATTTAACGTCCGTTCGTTTACTCATTCCTTCATTCATTCTTTTATAGATTGATTGATTCATTCATTGATTCATTCATTCACTTTTTTTAATCCTCAGTTGCAGACGATGCTCTACAGATCATGGGTGACCTGTGAGGATGAGGATGCTGGTGAAGAAGAAGATGATGATGTAGAATTTGGAGAAATTGACGACGACAACAATGATGATGATGATGGTGATGGTGGTGTTGCCTGCCAACTTGTGTTTCTATGTTTATGCGGTTTCTATGTGTGTGTGTGTGTGTGTGTGTGTGTGTGTGTGTGTGTGTGTGTGTGTGTGTGTGTGTGTGTGTGTGTGTGTGTGTGTAATACAATAAATAAGTGAATAAATTTAAGTTTGTTACTTAATTTCGTTCGTTATTTATTTATTTTTTCATTAATCATTCATTCATTCATTCATTCTAATGTTGGTTTTGCCCGCTCCATCATTCATTCATTCAATTGTCATTCATTCATTCGCTCATTCATTAATCAATATTGTCTAAATAATGTATGTGTATTTTCTTTCAACTTTATTACCATTCGGTTTTTTATTTTGTATTTCTTTCAAAATTTAAACCATCCATACGTCCATTCATTCATTCATTTATTCGTTCGTTCGTTCGTTCGTTCATTCATTGAAATACAAATTTTTTTTGACTCATTCATTCATTCATTCATTTGTTCGTTCTTTTTTTTTACGTTACACTCATTCACTCACTCAAAATTGAGTGAATGAGTGAGTGAGTGAGTGAGTGAGTGAGTGAGTGAGTGAGTGAGTGAGTGAGTGAGTGAAGAACATGGCGACGTTCTGCAAAAATGAAAAAAATTCATCATCATCATCATGTTAATAATAATAATAATACGCAACAGTTTACAATCAATAGCAATACTGACTTCCTTCTAGTCTTTTCTACCCATCTATCCATCCATCCATCCATCCATCCATTTTATTTTTATTATGTTTATTGTTATTATAACTATCATAGTCATAAATTTTCTACAATTAATCAATTACAATTATAGGACCTCGTTTTTTAAAAAAGGTTTTCACAGATGCATACCAAACGAAACGAAATTTCATTTGCTCCTCAAAATTAAAATGTATACGCTGAATATTTTTTTTTATATGTGTGTGTGTGTGTGTTGTATGTGTGTGTGTGTGTGTGTAGAGAGAGAGAGGAGAGAGAGAGAGAGAGAGAGAGAGAGAGAGAGTTCATAATAATGTGTACATTAAATAAAAGTCAGACTATCATAGTCATTCATTCATACATTCATACGTGCTAGTTTACGTTTGTACGCTTATTTCGTTATTAACTTTTGTGTACATATGTGTGTGTGTGTGTGTGTGCGCGTTTGTATGTGTTGGGTTTTGTATTCGTAATGTTTTTATTTTGTAAAGGAGAAAAATTGTTGGCTCGTTGGATGGCAAATTTGAGTTGATGAATGAAATGCTAAGAGGAGGGAATGTTATTTATTTTTTATCTCTTTCTATCTATCTATCTGTCTGTCTATCTATCTATCTAACTATCTATCTATCTATCTATATCTTTTTTTCTTTATTTGCAGTTGTTCATTAATATGTTTGCTAGTAGTACATACATTCTTCTTTGCGAGTTTAATTTCTATCGGTTTTTTTTTTATTCACACACTTATATCCGCTTCTTCATTCATCCAATAAGAAGAGACGTAAGATCGGTCATTCATTCATTTTTTCATTCATTCATTCTCAGATTTTACTCGTTTCGCCCATCATTCTTTCATTTATTTTTTTCATTACCCTAAGTTTATTTATGTGCCTTGGTGTGTTGTATCTCATCTGCATTTCTATGTATAAGTATATATACATCACACACACGCACGCACACACACGCACACACATATATATATAAATATAAATATATGTTAATATGTTGCGTCATTAACACGTCACACTATAGTAATACAGATTTATTATCTATATATATATATATAATATATATATATATATATATATATATATATATATATAGTATACGTTTAATATGTAAATATGCTTTGATGGATTATTTTATTCAAAAGAATATTTATTTTTTATTACGACGAAATAAAATTATTTGACAAAGAGTTGATTGATTGATCGATCGATTGATTGATGAGTTGATTGATCGATTGAATGATTGGTTGGTTGGTTGATTGATTGATGAGTTGATTGATTGTATTCAAGAAGATGTATGTCAGATAAATTGTATATTATACTATGTTTAGTGTTCCTATTCGTTTTTGTACATACATACATACATATATATATTGTCGTTTTTTGTAAAAAGATACACATATATGATATATGTGTGTGCGTGTATGTGTGTGTGCGTGCGTGTGTGTGTGTTTGTGTGTTAATGAAATGAATATGTTTGTGTGTGCAGTGCATCTGCTCTCAATCTTAAAGTTTAGTTATTTAATTTTCCAAGACGTTATTCGCATTTTGCTCGCCTCGCTAATTCGCTGATCTTTTTTTTTCGTGTTTTTTATTTATAATCTTTTGATTGTTTTAAAATATCTTTATTACTATTATTATTATTATAATATTGCGAAATTAATATTATTATAATTATAATTATTGTCGGATTACAATTTAAAATTATTTAAAAATTACAAGGGCTTCCCAGCGTGAATGTTTCATCATGTTCGACCTTTGGTGGTATGTTCTATGCATGTTTGTGTATGTATGTGTAAATAAATAGGTCACTAGTTGATGGAGCGTGAATTTTATATGGGTCAGTTAGTCAATGTCGCAGAGGTCAGGTCAAGATCACTCTCATTTATTTGAACTTTCTTATCCTTTCCCTTAATCATAGTTATTTGTTTTTTTTTCATTTATTCAATATTGGTGCATTCATTTGTTCATTCATTCATTCGTTCATTCATTCTTTCATTCATTCGTTCGTTCATTCATTCATTTCTTAGAATACGTATGTACATGCATTGCCTGTAACGTTCGTATCCTTCACAATCCTGATATATATCTAAATACTGATAATTAAATGATGATATCATTATTAATATGATTGTCATTTTTTTAATAATTGTTATTATTATTATTTTGTTTAATTGTTTAACTATATAAATGTTTATATCTTTATTTATTTATATTCTTTTATTTAAAATCGATCATAATATAATAATATATGTCCATTTAATGATATAATCATGGACATAATATATTATATATATATATATGATATATTATATATATCCGTGGATATAATATCAATGATGATGAATGATATAATTTTAATCATAAGGAGTGCTCGCGATAAGATGTATCATGATATATAGTAATGTTGATGGTGATATATGTATTGATTACAGCTACATATGTTGATGATGACGACGACAATGAGGGTGGTTGGTGATGTCACCGCGATCCGTGTTACCGAAGACTGTAAATAGACATTCATTTACGTTTGATAACTATTATTTATATAGCGTTTATTTTTAATCTTTTAATGACTTTTTTGTATACATACATTATACATACATAAACACGCGCGCTCTTACACACATACAAACATACATACATACACACATACGAACATACATACATACATTATATACATACATTGCATACATACGTACGTACATACATACACACAGATGCTTATTTAAGTTTTTAAAATATAAATTTTGAGTAATTTAATTTTTTATCCAATTTTCCTATCTTACAATGAAATCAAATTATATATTTCTTTGATTTTAAGCTCCATGGAATTTTTTTAAATTTTATTTTTTATTTTACGTTTTAAATACTGATGAAAGGAAAGAGATAAAATGAGTATTTATTGAATTCGGTTTACGTTATAAACAACAACAACAACACACGTTTAGACGACATTTTCCCCGAGATCGGGGGTTGCCGTTTGGCTACCTACGATGAAACCGAAATACCCCTCGACGCCATCCACATCTGTCACTCGCCTCAGTATCACGCAACCCCGCTTTCACCCTGTCCTTCTTATAAACAGCCACTAACTACCAAATAGCTACTGCCACCAACTACTAAATAGCTACTACCACCGACTACTAATTAGTTGTGGTGGTGGTGGTGTTACAGTGATCGGATTCAAAAGCATGGGATTCCCGTCAGCATCATGCAAAATGTGTGTGACGCGTTGATTCGTGTGTATTTACATGAAACACACTCAAATAAACAATGTATAAAGAGTCAGACATACAGAGAAACACACTCGAACAAATAAACACACAAACAATGTATACTAAGACACACAAACACACAAATTATGGATACAAAAACACGCACACAATGTGTACTAAGACACACAGAAACAATGTATACTAAGACACACACACAAACAATGTATACAGAGACAGACAAACAAAAAAACACACACAAACACTCATCTCTATTTCGTTACTATCTCTCACTTTTAGCATTGTGTATATAAGCGAAGGCGATACATGTGCCTGATGTCTTGTTACTAATACAACTAAGTCTGCTCTGGCTGTTTGATCATTTGATGAGAAATATTAATATATAATATAATTGATATATATATATATATAATTGATTATTTCTTAACTTATTTATTTATTGATAAATTATTCAATTTATGAAATGATTACAAATTCCAAATGAAATTATTTTATTATAAATTTTTTTTATTAATTGAATTTTAAATTTAAAAACCAATAAATAATCCTAATAAATAATAAAATAATATTATATTTATTTATGAAAAAAAACTACTTATATTACAAATATTATACCTATTGGAAATTAATGTTTGTAACCAGAAAGTTCATTAACAATTAAAAATTAAAATTAATTAATAAACTACAATACTACAGCATCAATTTTGTTTGACACATCTAATTAATAATTTATTTAATATTAAATATTAATTTATTTATCTTCTATTGGCATTTATTTTAAATTAAATAATAATGGTAGCTTTTATAGAAGGTAATAAAAGCCAGTTGTTAGTTGTGTATGCCACACAGACCGGCCAATCAAAGGCAATAGCAGAGGATCTCACTGAGATGCTGTTTAGCAAGGGAGTGGTTCAAATGCTAGCCGAACCAATGTGTATCAGTGAATTCTTTAAAAATGTTAGTAGTTGTGATGATAATGATGATGGTCATGGTTAAATGATTATTTTATTATTATTAAAATTTTTGTTATTATAATTAAAAAAGTTATAATAACATCAAAAATCAGCACAGTCTAGAAAGTGAGAGCTACATCATTTTTATTGTTTCGACCACTGGAGACGGTGAGCCGCCAGAAACTGCCATCAAATTTTGGAGAGCCCTGAAGAAAAATAAAAATTCGTTGGAACATCTGTCTTATGCCTTGCTAGGTTGGTTGGCTGGTTTGTTGGTTGGTTGGTTAAATAAAAAGCTGGTTTGTTGGTTGGTCAGTTGGTTTAGTTGAAATATTGAAGGATTAGCTCATTAGATTGGTTTTTTTTTAGTAGATTGGTAATTGGTTAGCTTGTTGGTTAGTTTAGTTTAGTCAGATGATTGATTGGTTAGTTGATTGATTGGTATCATTGTCGTCGTCATTATCAGGACTTGGAGATACAAACTACAGTAATTTTTGTAATTTCGGCAAAACATTGGATAAAAGATTGAAAGAAATGAATGCCAGTTCGTTCTGTCCTTCCACGTGGGCTGATGATGCCGTCGGGTGCGTTTGTTCAATTGATTGATTGAATGAATGATTGATTGAATGATTGATTGATTGATTGAATGAATGAATGAATAATTGTTTTCATTGACTGACTGACCTGCCTACTGACTGACCAAAGGTTAATTTGTTAATAATCACAAAAAAAAACAGATTAGAAACGGTCACGGTTGATTGGTTGAAAGCTGTGGTCGATAAAGTGGTGGAATTATTTGGTGGTAGTAGTAGTAATAGTAGCAGTAGTAGTAGCAGTAACGTTTATGGCTTCAGTAATAACGATATATCTACTGATATGGTTGTCGAGAAATGTGTGGCGTCAGTGTCAAAAATGCTGTCAACGACGAATACATCAACATCAACTATAATAACTGCAACTTCAACAGTCGCAACTTCAACGACTGTTACTACTACAACGACAAAAACGCCATCACAAGCGACATCATCGATAACATCATCACCAACAACAACATCACAAACATCATCATCAACAACAACAACAACTACTACATCATCGTCGTCGTCATCATCATCGATAGAGAATGACGTCAACAAAGATTTTTACACCATTGGTAGTATACATGTACCACTACTCCCAGGTGTAGAACTCCAACTGCCAACACTCCCATCTCGTTTTCTTGAAATTATTTTGCAACAATCATCTTCATCAACATCATCATCATCATCATCATCGACATCATCATTATCATTGTCATCAATACCACCATCATCATCAACAACACCAACAACGTTATCAACTTTAATACAGCCAGAAACAAAGTCACAATCATCTTATCCTCCATTTTATAATTATATCATTCCATCTACAGCAACAACATCAACATCAACAACAACATACTACCATCTTCTGCCAAATGCTAGGACCAGTTTGAGCTTGGCAGAAATAAACAATGTTAAATTGTGCACCCAGAATATGCAGAATGTTAAGCAAATTGTCAAAATGGATTTTGATGTTTCTGTAAGTATGTTTGTTTGTTTGTTTGTTTGTGTGCCTGTGTATGTGTTTTTATGCAGGTGTTTGTATCTATGGGCTTATGTACTTTTACTTTTTAGGCACTAGTTATCTCCTAAGCATGAAAATGTATGGAAATCCCGACGCTTTTTGATATATAGTACCTCGAATTGACCGAATTATTACCATTATGCTTTGGCTATAGTTCAATTTCTTGGAATGTGGTGCTGATATGTTCTTTTCGCCATTAGATGAGCCCAAAAAACTGCATTGGTTTCTATTTCGATTGAACATCTCAAATAGAAGTAGCCAAGTTGTTGCATTTTAAAGTGGCTGGCACGAATCCAGCATCATGCATAGCGGTATTAATAGCATGTGATGTGATGTCAGTTTTAATGGCGTGTGATGTTTATTAAGATATGCGCTATTTTGTTAGGGCTGTTTCAGAGATGTCGTAGACAACGACGATACCAACAACAATATCAGCAATGATAACATCAACAACACTAGCATCAGCAACAACAATGACATCAATGGTCATGACATCTACAACATCATCCAGCCTGGAGATACCGTTGGCATTTTATGTCCTAACGACGTACGTGAAGTTAGTGAGTTGTTGGAGTTGTTGGGAGTCAACTTGCCTCAACAACAGCATCAACAACTACAACAACATCCAACTGCAAAGTTTGTCATTACTGATGAGGTGGTGGCCAGCAAGAAAAAAATCACTTTGCCTGATGGTGGTGTTAATGTCTTTGATCTTTTTATGTGGATTGTTGATGTCAGGGCCGTTCTGAAAAAGGTTGCTGATGTTGTTGTTGTTTCTTGTTGTTGTTGTTGTTGTTGCTGATGTTTTGTTGTCGTTGTTGTAGTTGCTGTTTGGCCAATGTTCCAACCACACATGTACAAAAATGCAGACAAACGAATGTACACGCGTTAACGTGTATACAACCAAACAAAAAATATACTTACATACATACATACGTACGAAGACTCATACAACGAAAGTTACAAACTTATACAAACTCATGTTTACATACAAACACACAAACAAACACATACAAACTCGCGTTACCAAAACAGGCATTCTTACTTGCTTTAGCTCAAATGACTACAGATCCAATAGAACAAAGGTGCCTTAAAATACTTAGCAGTCGGCAAGGTTCCGAAATGTACAACCAGCTTTGCCTGGGGTCCAGATTAGGGATTAGGGATGTGCTGATTTGCTTTCCTTCTTGTAAACCTTCGCTGGGATTGATTTACGGTTAGTCGACGGATTGGGACATGACGGGATTGGATTGCAATAATAATAATAATAATAATAATAATAATAATAATAATAATAATAGTTGTGGTTATGATGGTGATGATTAAAGTGTTATTGTTATTATTATTTATATTATTATTATTATTATTACCATTTCTTATCATTAACAGAAAACCTTCCAAAGCTGTTACCTAGGCCTTATTCTATTTGCAGGTGATGATGATGACAACGACGATGATGATGGTGATGGTGAAGACGACGATGATGGTGAAGACGATGATGATGGTGAAGACGATGATGATGTAGACGATGATGATGATGAAGTTGTGCTGGCATGATAGCCAATCAATTATGGTAATGAAATAATTGGCAGCGTGCATTAATTTTATCATTCGTAAAAATAGTAACCAATTAAATTTCAGCAATATAATAATAATAATAATAATTATTATTATTATTTCATTCATCCAGTGTTTCCAAAAATTCCTCCTCTCACTCTATCATCTCCATCCTGTTATCCGTTGCACAATTTGAATCCATTGATTTTCATCAACAACAACATCAACAACAGCAATCAAAACATCAACAACAACAATTAGTAACCAGATACGGCTTGTGCACTGGATGGCTTTATAACATTGCAATCAACTTCAAATATCTGCAACAACAATCACCTGAACAACAACAACAACAATCACCTGAACAACAACAACAGCATCACCATTCACAACAGTTACATCATTTTTTTAAGGTTTGTCATTTCATAACTGTATTGGTTTGATCGAATTTATATTATAGCATTAAGAATGTTACTACTACTACTACTAATATAACGACTTTTACTACTACTTCTCTGCGGCTAATGCTGCTACTACTCTTGCTGCAACTACAAAATAATAATAACATTTATAATAACAATAATGCGCAATGTGTATGATGTTTATGTTTTTACACATATTCGTATAACGCTGCATGTGTTTGTCGTTGATATGGCCCTTGACCTTTGACTTTTTAACCTTTTGTTATCAGGTCGCCATGTACCTGAGGAGGCCCACAAATTTCCGACCGCCCCCACTTGATCGGCCCATCATCATGGTTGGCCCTGGAACCGGGGTGTCCCCCTTTATAGGGTTTCTCGAATATAGGTAGGTGGATAGATAGGTAGGTAGGTGAGTAGGTAGGTAAGTAGGTAGGTAGGTGGGTAGGTAGGGACGATAATTTAATTGCTATTCATAATCTCTGTTGTTTCATTTTGAAAATTATTGTTATAGTAATAGTAGTAGTAGTAATAGTAGTAGTAGTAGTAATAGTAATAATAGTAGCAGTAGTAGTAGTAGTAGTAGTAGTAGTAGTAGTAGTAGTAGTAGTAGTAGTAGTAGTAGTAGTAGTATTAGTAGTAGCAATAGCGGTAGTAGTTGTCGTAGTAGTGTTAGTGGCCGTGGTTTCATTGTTTAAAAAATTTTTTTTCAAATGTTTTAAGGTCAAGATTGATTAAAGAAATGACTTCAAAATTGTCTGAAAAAGATAAGCCATCGTCGTCATCATCATCATCATCATTTTCTTCATCTTCATTGTCGTCGGGAGAATCCTGGTTATTTTTTGGCTGCAGATGTCAGGATGATTATATTTTTAAGTTGGTGCGATTGATGTTGTTGTTGCTGATGTTGTTTTCGCTGCTGTTGTTGATTTTGTTGTTTTGTTGTTGTTGATGATGACGTCAGTTACATTTCTTTTTTTTTTTTTTGTTCATTCATCAGAATTCATTCACTACGTTGTCACAATCGTATGTGGTATTGAAGTCTTGCATTGTGTGCATTCGAACACGGTCACAGTCAAACATGCGTACTTGTGTGCATTTGACTATCTATCTTTTGTTCATTGGAATAACAATGCAAGATTCATCAACTAGTTCTTGTTTATTTGTTGCATACATGTGCCTGCTAAATGTTTGCATGTCTGTGGACATAGTAGCTGTATATTTTCAATTCATTTGTCATCGCGTATCAAACATGTAGACAAGAGTTGGAACAACATTACAAAGATGGAGTCCTAACACGTCTGCATGTTTGTTTTTCACGTCAGTCCGACTTGAACGCCCCTCGATACGTTCAAGATGGTATCATCCAGTATAGGCAAGAGTTAGCTAGAGTTATTGTGGAGAAAAATGCGCTGGTTGGTTGGTTGGTCAAATAATTGATCAATTAATTGAATAATTGATTGAATAATTGATTGATTAACTATCAGGATATTTATTATTCTTATTTATTACCATAGTATTGATTAAATAAATAAATCATTTTGCGTAATTTTATGGCAGGTATATATATGCGGACATGGTCAGAAGCTAAGTAAAAGTCTTCACGAAACTTTCAAAGACCTTCTGAAGTCTTTTGAAGGTGATTCGCATTGCATTGATCGTTATTATTATTTTTATTATTATTACCATTATTGCTGCTATTATTATTATTGTTATTGTTATTCAGAGTCGACGTATAAAGATTATTACGAGAAAATGAAGGCAGATAAAAGAATTATTGAAGATGTCTGGACATGATGGTGATGAAAATGATGATGACGATGATAACGTAACGTAATGATGAAGTTATGATCTAACAATTTTTTGGATTTTCTAATTTTAAATGGCTTGCAATGAAGTGATAATGTTTCAATCAATCTTCGTTTGGCATCCAGAGACCCCTCTTCTTTGCCATTAATTTTTTTGCGCCAAATTAGACTATCAGTTGTATCCATTTCATTTAATCGGTGTTGCCGGCATTCGTCCTGCGTCGTTCTGGTTTAGATGATATATATATTATTATTATGTAGTGTTATATACGGTTATATTGATTTATATATAGTTATTGTAGAGTTGCTTTCGATGCTGCTAATACCACCACGACCATTGAAATTATCCTTGCAAATGTTACTTTATAGTAATTAATTATGTGGTAGTATTTCCATATGGCCTGACATTATAATTCACGTTCCTGATTTCATAGTTGATTTAAATATTAATTTTTACACCATCGTGTGTTCTGTTCAACACGACAGCAGCCTGAGTAGTTTTAATTCAAACCGTTCAAAGTACACGTTTTTAGATTATTTTCATAAAATTCCTGTAATTCTAGAGTAGTGGTACAATTATAATTATATATGCATTAATTTTTGAGTTTAAATTGTTTTAAATGTTTGCTATTTTTCAATTTAAACTGGATTTATACCGGATTCCATGATTCATTTTTTATTTTTAATAACCTAAGTTATTTTTTAAACATCTTACTTAACGTGTATTACAACTTAAGTTAACTTTTATAAGAACTTATTTTTTGATTATTATTTTATTTGAAGTTTCGTTCTTTTAAAAATTAAAATCGAGAATTAAGTTTATTTAATTTTATTTTAAATTGTTAGGTAATTGTTAGTTTTTGATTGATTGATTTTGATGTTACTCTGTCTGTCTCTGGCTCTCTTGGTGAAACAAAACAAAGCAGAACCAAACTTTAAAACTAGGTAAAAATAAATTTAAAATTAGTTTTTATAAAATCTATCAACAATTTTAACAAGTAAGATAAGCCAACTATTACGCCCATCCTCTGCAATCATACTTATACAACAATTTATTACATACAACACATAGCTAGCCTAGAGGTGTACTAATTTAATTTTAATTAAATTTTAATTCAAATTCATCCTTCAAGAAAATACAAAACCATACTGTGCAATGTTAGTCTTCAAAACCTATAAATGATACTACATTGTATAATTATTAATACTCTATTCTATTTTTTAAAGTACACATAGTAGAAAATATGGAAGGACAACTTTTTATGTTTCTGCTGATCCTATTATATTATAATTACTGACTAAGCCATTAAGGTTATGTTATAATATATATCAATTAATTAATGAAGAAAAAACATTTTAAAATTTTCAGAAAAGAGTCACCATCCCACAATTTTGATAGCCAGATGCCATATATATCCTAATGCCAAAGAACTAAAAACAGAAGCTAAATAAAATTATTTAATCATCAGAAAACAAAGATATATATATATATATAAATATATATATATAAATAAATCCCCAGCAACCTTTAAATTTAATTTTTTAAGGACAGTTGAAAAGTGAGATGCATGCCATCT